AACTCTACTCTTTTTATAAGGAATCCTTGTATTCTGTATAAACTGACCTAATTATTCAGATTTTGTGATTTTTTTTTTATCTTTATTTATTCTAGTTGCTTATTTATCTACAATTTGTATATTAGGATCTGTATAAGTAAAGTAGAGTAAATAATTAAAAAAAAAAATTAAATATCCTTGCCTTTAGTTTTCCGTCCTCCTTTACCGCAAAGTCCAGGCCAATCTCTCAGGCGTCCTGTGATTGCTACCGTAAGGACATCACACAAGGCATGAAAAGCTCTTGGGTATTAGCATTCGTGACACCGGTGTCAAGTCTTAGATCTTAGCTTTCGTGACACCCCAAACATGGCGGACGAAGCGTGGAGGATTCCTCGACTCATTCGTAACATATGCACTACACGAGTTTTGGCCGTTAGAAAAAACATTACAGTTCCTCCGCCAATTCCAAGTAAACTGCAGAATCTGTTGTACGCTTTTCGTGAATCCAAAGTGCTATTCGCAGCGTGTGATTTGGGTATCTTTGATATTATTCAAGAGTCCGACGCCCCACAGTCGGTTGCAGACATGTCTTCTAAGATGGGATCCGATGCCGAAGCCACAGCTTGCTTTATGGACACACTAGTTGCGCTGGAATTGCTAGATAAGTCTAAGCACGGTGGATCATGGTTGTACTCTAACAGTGACACAGCAAAGCAGTTTCTGACCAAGTCGAGTCCCCATTCGATTTATGGGTACATAAGGCACTCAAATAAAGTGATATATCCCCTCTTCGGGAACTTAGAGAGTGCAGTTCGCGAAGGATCGAACCAGTGGATGAGAACATTCAAAATTTCGGCAGAAGATCTATGGAAATCCTCATATAACACCGAGGAAGACCGTGTGCGCTTTCAATCTGCCATGCATACCACGTCACGTCACTTCTGTCACGCCGTCGTAACTGCGTTTGACTTACGTTCCTTTAAAAGTTGCTGTGACTTAGGAGGTGGGTTATGTTTGGCATATCTTAATTACTGGAAATTCACTTTTGATAGTGATAGAATTGTGAAAACTTGCGCGTTCGTGTCTCATTTGGAACTTTGCTAACCCTTGGACCCTTACAAGTTACTAGCTTCTAATTTCTCCGAACAGTATCAGAGTAAGGACTGGGGAGAGGCGTAGGATGGACCTCCCCTTCTCCTTCCCACTAGGCACATAACCTCCACTGGTATGAAAGATGGATAGTGTAAGGCAACCTTTCC